TTGATGCCTGCTCCAAGGGCAAGGGGGCAGTATTAATGCAAGAAGGGAAGCAAGTGGCTTATTTAAGCAAGGGGTTTGGGGCTAAACACATGGGACTATCTATTTATGAAAAAGAGTATCTCTCTATCATCAATGCAGTTGATAAATGGAGGTCTTACTTGATTGGGAGGCTCTTCATCATCAGAACTGATCATCAACTAAGGGCCTCAACATAAGGGCCTCACTAAGTTATTGGGATTGAATTATGATATCTAGTACAAAACGGGAGTAGATAATTGTGTTGTTGATGCTCTATCTAAAATGGGAGGTGTTGAACAAGCTGAATTGTTGGCTATCTCAACTGTTAGACCACTTTGGATGGAAGATATCATAAAGAGTTATGAAGGGGATGATTTAGCTTCTAAGACACTCACTGAACAATTAGTGGCACCAAAAGCAGCCTCACTATTCACTGTATATTGGGCAGAAGGGGGATCTGAGAAGCAAGCTCTTATTGCAATTACATAGTTCTCCTATAGGGAAGCACTCGAGACAGCAGGTGACTTACCACAGACTCAAACAACTCTTCTACTAGAAGGGGATGAAAAAGGAGATGATAACAATAGTTAAGGGTTGTGATACTTGTCAGAAATGTAAGGAGGAGAATGTAGCTTATCCTGGATTATTGCAGCCCTGAAAAATCCCTGAACAGGCTTGGCAAAGCAAATCAATGGATTTCATTGAAGGGCTGCCTATATCTCAATGAAAGGAAGTCATTATGGTGGTAGTTGACAGGTTCACCAAATACAGCCACTTTTTAGCCTTATCCCATCCCTATACTGCTGAAAAGGTGGCTAAGATATTCATGGAGAATGTCTACAGACTCCATGGCATTCCACAATACATTGTGAGTGATAGAGGCAAGGTCTTTGTGAGTAAGTTTTGGAAAATTTTATTTAAACAACTGCAAGTGAATCTGAGTATGTCATCAGCCTATCACCCATAATCTGCAATCGTTATACCGTGCACCAGGCCGCACATAGCAATGTGCGCCGCGCCTCCCAAAACGACGTAGTTTTGTTAAGTTGTTAAAAAAAATCTCTGTTTCGAATGCACATAAACTCATATCAGAATACACATAAACTCATATCAGAATACACATAAACTCATATCAGAATACACATAAACTCTTAACATAATACACATAAACTATAACATAATACATATAAAATCTTAACTGAATACACATAAAATCTTAACTGAATTCACATAAACTCAAACACAATACACAAACGTTTAACTGAATACACATAATGGGGTTTGGTTAACATAATACACATAAACTCTTAACTAAATACACATAAACTCATAACACAATACACATAAAATTTTAACTGAATACACATAATGAGGTTTGGTCTATTCAGATGGACGGAGTGAGGTCAGCATGACGTCAGCATGAAACACGCGCGTTTTGTGCCTGGGCGCACATTGCTATGTGCGGCGTGGTGCATGATATAATTTGCCCACAATCTGATAGCCAGATAGAGAGGGTTAACAGGTGCATGGAAACTAACTTGAGGTGCATGGTTTTTCACAAGCCCAAGACATGGAGTAAGTGGCTGCACCTAACTGAGCACTGGTATAACACCAACTACCACACCTCCTTGCAGTGTTCACCTTTCCAAGCCATCTATGGTTACTTAGTACCAGTTTTGGCATTTGATATTGTGAAAGAAGGAGAGGGAAGTGATTGGTTTAAAGAGAGAGCCACCATGGTGGCCATCCTCAAGGAAAACTTACAAAGAGCTCAGGCCAGAATGAAACAACAAGCAGATATACACAGGAATGAAAGAAGTTTTGAGGTTGGGGATTGGGTATACTTGAAAATACAGCTCGACAAACAAGTTTATGTGGCTGTTAGATTCAATGTAAAGCTTACTGGCAGATTCTATGGGTCATTCAGAGTCATAAGGAAGATTGGGAAGGTAGCTTATAAGCTAGAATTACCTGCTGAAACTACCATACACCCAGTTTTCCATGTTTCCCAATTAAAGAAGAGGATAGGAGATGGCATTACCCCCCCCCCCCCCCCAACCTGAATTGCCCATCACTGACTCTAAAGGAATGGTGCTCACTCAACCAGGGGCAGCCATAGGGAAAAGGTTGGTCAAAAGAAACAACAAGGCCGTGGTTCAGATCCTCATTCAGTGGGAAAATCTACCCAAGGAAGCAGCAACTTGGGAGGATATCCACCACATCACAAGTCAATTCCCCAAGTTTGATCCTTGGGGACAAAGATCCTTTGAATGAGAGGGTAATGTTATGACCCTGGGCAGTGGCATGGAATTGAAAGAGGTTGGAAGTAGTGCGACTGGAGGGAAAGGCAAGCCGTTAAGGGAGGAAGACACAACAAACGATGTCGTGTGACAGAAAGACGTTGGAGGCGGTTGGAAATAACTCAAACGATAGCGTTTAAAGGCTGGCAATTAGGGCAGAGTCAAACGGTGTCGTTTTGTGACTCTCTTGGCTGGGCTAATCTGTTACTGAGTAGAAGATTCCAGAGAGTGCAGGGGAATTCCCTACTATAATGTTTAGTTTTTGTCCTATTTAATTTTGGATTTTTGTGAGTTTGTTATGCAGATTTTAGAAGTTAATGAAACTTCTCTTTCTTCCCTAAATTCTTCTCCATTTCCCTACCCTTTCTTCTCTGTTCTTCCTCTTTTTTCTGCAAGATTCTAAGGTTGTGACAACTGAGCAGTGACCGGCAACTCGGCGACCCGCGAGGTAGTGAGCGCCTGAGCAGCGACAAGCGAGAGGACTGGCAAGCTGCAACTCCTGTCTCCTGCAGTCCTTCAATTCGAGAGATTAAGAGATAAACGAGGTAGAGAAGCCAGAGAGGGCTGCGTGACTGGCCAACAATTAGGATTTTAGGGTTCGCGAACGAGAAACGGATAGATTGAGAGACAAAGAGGTTTACTGGAGTAAGATGTGTGGCTGTAAAATTTTAGGTACGGCACAAGAGGGCACCTAAAATGTTTCGATTGGAATTAGATTTTAGTGGAATCTAATTTTCAGATACCAATAGTGAGATTAATAGCATCTTTTGTATCAATAGCGAGACTATACTTTTAAAATAAGTATAAAATTAAAATTTCGTCACTAAATCATAAATCTTTAGCGAGAGTAATTTTTAACATTCACAAAAGCTAGGCAAATAATACATTTAATGAAGGGTTTTTCGACCCGTCACTAATTTTTTGTAACTAAAAATTGTTTTTCTTGTAGTGCATTGGTTAAAACAAAACTGTTAGGGCCCGTTTACTAACAGAAAACTATTTTCTGTTTTCTATTCTCTGTTTTCGAAAATTCTATGTTTTCAATTCTCTGTTTTTGAAAATTGAAATTGAAAACGTGTTTATCTGTACTTATTTTCGAAATCCATTCTCCATTTACTAAATTAAAAATGTACTACATACATATATTTATAAGTTATTTCGTGACAAATTAAAATGTCATTACAAAACATATTAATTGCAATAATTTAAAATAAGTTATTTCGTGACGAAATGTGATTACAAAACATTGTAAATAAAATTGAGTACACCATCAATGATTATAATTTGCCCAGAGTGCATTTGCGATGTCCTCACGCAATTGTAGCATTTGGTCTTGTTAACTCATATCTAATTGTATGGTATCATTTCCACCACCACTACTACTTTCACCATCATCCAAAACCATGTCTTGCGTTCCGTACATCATACCCAATTGATCATCTTTATCTTCCAACCGAATGAAATTATGTAATGCACAACATGCAAGAGGAATTTGTCTTTGCCTAATCAATGGGTAACCATTAATGGACTTTAGAATTGGGAATCTTGCCTTTAAAAGTCCAAAACACCGCTCAATCACATTCCGCAATGAGTGTCGATAATTAAATAGGGCTTGTTTATTTCGTATCCGTCCTTGCCCACGAAAGTCATTCAAGTGATAGCGCTCCCCGCGGTATGGTGCCAAAAAACCGGGTGCATTTGGGTAACCAACATCAACAACGTAGTAATAACCTATACAATTGAGAAAAAGAATATACTTAAAGAAATACTAAATTACACTAAGTTAAATAATTGAAATTAATAAGCTATTCGAATACTCTTACCTTTGGGTGGCATATGAAAATCACTTCCAGGCTTTGAAATTGCATCTAAGAATATGCGGGAATCATTCGCACTTCCTTCCCAACCCGCATGTACGAATGTAAACATCATGTCATGCGAGCAAACTGCCATGACATTTTGGGTCAACATTCCTCCTTTTCTACCTCGAAATGTGCTTTGCTTTGATGCAGGTACCCAAGCTGCGACATGTGTTCCATCTATAGCACCTATACATTTCTATCACCAAGATTGTAAAATATTCGTATTAGACACTTTACATAAATAATTACATTAATTTTATTGAAGTTTTGTACAACTACTAACCATACCTCAAAATAAGGATACCATTTGGGATTTGCTAAAATTTCTGGTTGCACCGGTCCTCTATTCACGTGCTTGATGATTTCATTTCCCAATCGTACAAGTGCACGTATGACACGCTTCACACATTTATGTACAGTTCTAGTGGAATGTTGAAACCGCTCAGCAATTATACGTTTTGAACTTCTATGCGTTAGAGCTAGGAGACCCATTGCTAATTGCTCCTCCAGTGATATATGTCTTGTATCTTTTAACGCATCCAACCCCTTCAATCTATCACATAACTTTTCGAACACAAGGGGCACCATCCTAAAAGATTCATAACACCTAGTAGGATTTCCATGCAAGAATTCATTTATGTAATCTTTACCTGAAAGGATTGAGGTCCTACATGGAGTCCTTTCTACATCGTCCATCAATAAGCATGCAACAATAATGATAAGTACTAGTGCATAATCTTCTTCATCACTGTCACTAGAGCTATTAGAACTATAACCCTGTTCTGAAATTATCCCTGCAATATGAAGTGTAATACACGTGTGAAAACAAAAATAGTCTTGACATTTAAAACTTAAATAAGTGTTATTACAGACATAGTCATCAATTAGCAAATTAAGGAGGTCACACAGTCCTAAGCAGTAACAAGAACAACAACAGCAGACAAGTTCAACACATTCAAATGAAAGATAACACCCAGTCACGTTGCCATTCAGGTCGTCGCAGTTCTATGAACGCTTCACGAATGTCAGGATTTGCCCACTGCTGGATACATGCATTAACGGCTTTAAAGGGAATGTCACCCATGTTGTTCAATATGTCCATACACGCTTTCATACTGTATGGGTTACCCATTGCCGCCGTACTCATCATACTTGCATCTTCCCTAGCTTTTCGACGGATTTGTTTTGAAGAAATACTCATACTAATAGTATCCAATGCATTGCCAAACTGTTCCCTCAATTTCTTGTTACCGCTCTTCATGGTGCTACCACCAACATTCAACAAATCATCCAAACTCCTTTTCCCTTTGGAACTAGTACCACCTTCAGTAAAAAATGATGATGGCTTAGCACTATGCAAGAACTCATCTTCATCATCGCGTTCCTCATCAGAGTTTGGTGGCCTTTGTGAGGAAGATTTGGCAAGACCTCCAGTAGCAACAGATCGGGCAAACACCTCAGCCATTAACTCATAGTGTTTGCAACCATTTCGCTTAAAAGCCTTGAATTTAGAAGGATTCTTCTGTTTCAACCATAAATACATATATTATTAAAGAATACAATTGAATGACATACTTCAGTATCATTATGAACTAATAGAAGAAGTTTCTGTTTCATACCACGTAGAATTTATTCCATGTATCCCCACATGCGTGCACAGTGTTGGTAGATGGGTTGTATGTTACCCCGGTATGAGCAATTAACTCAGAAAACTGATTGTACAACATTTTCAGCCTATTCATCTTTCCTTTAAGTTTGAAGGGCCCGTAACATAACCCAGTAGCTTTTATCATCTCACGATCAATTTCAGCCCATTCTGAAGGCTTGAATGAAAGCTTTCCATCCGCAGTTTTTTTGACCCTTTCATTTAAAATACTCAAAAATTGTACAACGGCCGTATCGGGCCATTTTGCCTCATCATCATTAGTTTCTATGACGTTATTCATCTAAGCAAAGGCAAATTCATTCAATTCATAACCAACAATTCTAGCTACCATATGTTATAATCATGAGATAAGCTAGTTGATCAAATAGGATAATAGCTCTATTTCTCAAATAAACAAACTCAAGTACAGAAAAAAAAAATAGATTTAGAAAGGACATTACTCTGGAACGTGGTGATGGGCACGATCCAACAGATGATTTTGGTGACTCCGTCTTTTGGGGTGAATAAGCTATGTTATAATCATGTGATATGCCACCTGATCAAATCCAAATATTAGTTGAAGAAAAGCTTAATTTAGGACACTTTAGTATGAAGGAAGTGCTTATCAAAACATGACATATCAAAAATGAGAGGAAATAGGGGGATATAGTGCAAGAGAATGCAGAAACTGATTTGGTAGAAAGAGCAAATATACTGATTTGCATATATAATAAATAAATGAATGGTAGAAGGAATGAGAAAAAGGGCATGATTTATATAATGATGAGGCTGTAGATATAAGCCATGTGTATGGTGAAAGATTCAGAATTCACACACTCCCTATGCAAAAGGGAAAAAGAGGCCAAATTTCTTCACGGGTAATCTCAGGCTCCCCCATCCCCAAGTTCACGCACAAACTTTGATAATTTTTGATCAAATTACCCCTAGCGACCGGTTGAACCTAAAGATTAATGAGATGAGATTATCTCTTCTCTGCAATTATATTCAGTTCACATCAAGCTCATCAACAATTTTTTTTATTTATTATTGTTAAAAGAAAAATACTCATCTCTGTAATCCAAGAATAGAAATCTCAAAACTATAATCAAATTTAAGTTGAACTAACCACTAAAGAGATCGGAATGGATTTGGTAATTTCCTCATTTTTGGCCTGGCTTGATATGACAAAAATGATATTAGAAGTAGCACAAAAGAAGCTAAGGTGAGAGTGAGAGCCCAGAACAAATCCAGACTCTATATACAATCCAATATCTCCATCAATTTCAATACTGGAAAAAAGAAAACAAAAAAGTGAGAAGTTTTCCAATTTTATTTTTACTCTTCAAATTAAAACAAAAGAAAAGGCATAAAAAAAAACTCAAATCTACAGAAAGAAAGGGCCCAAAACTGGGTTCTCATATTCTCTCAATTATAACTCGAAAAAAGAAAAAACAAAAGCAAAAAAATTACCCGGTAGTACCTTGTAGAGACTCCCGATGGTCTGAGGAGCGTCGGCGGGACAGCAGCACTCCGCTGACAGTCAGATTCACGGTGGCCTGAGGGTTCGCCGGTGGGTGTGAGAAAGTGGCGAGAGGAGTCAATTGGAGAAGAAAGTAAAGTAGAGAGAAGGGGGGTGGGTGTGAAGGAGAAGACAAAACTAATGAAGGAAAATGGAGGGTGGTTGGCTGACATTAAAGTAGAGAAGAAAGGAGAAAAGAGAGAATAATATCTGGTGGCAGGATTCGATGGTCTATCTACTGTTCACGCGTGTGTTTCCTATTTTGAAAACAATTTTTTTTTTGTTTTCTGATTTCTAGCAAAAAATGAAACATGTTTTCAAATTTGGAAATGAGAAAAATCAATAGTAAACACTTTGGGCTGTTTTCAATTTTCAATTCTTAGAAATTCTTGAAAATTTCCTGTTAGTAAACGCCCCCTTAGTATTCCAATGTACTGCCATATTAAATATTTAAAGAAACCATTGGTATGTTTACATCATCTTAAAAACCTCTCTCATATTTTCGCAGAACACAAGTCTTAGTAAAATGAAGAAACTAACAACTTCAGCAGTGATAGGGAGAAAGAGGAAGCCACAGTGTAACACTTAATGTTACGGCCTTCAAACCCGGATTAATTATGGAATTAATCCCATAGATAAATAATTAAAAGGGACTTAAAATTGGTTAGGACCCCCTTAATTAATTAATTTGGTCCACGATGGACCATGGACCCTTATCCATATTAAAAGACAATGAGCCCGATAAGGATAAGGAAAATAGACCCTTTGCTACCCAGACTCTGATTAGGATTCATGACCTTATAAATAGAGGATTAGAAAGCAAATTTGAACCGACTCATCTCTCATAACACCAAATACACGAACCGCCCAAGAGACCTAGTGAAAGGAATTCCCCGCCACCAAGCCAAGGGAAATCAACCGGGAGGAAATCTTGGGAAAGAACCTTAATAGCCAAGGAAGGATTAATTAAGGCTAAGAGGTAACCCATGTCTTACAAAGCCTATTTTCCTTGCTACATCTTAGTTATTGGCTCCTTTGATAATTGTAGGTGTGATTCTGTGATTGAGTCTTGATAGAGATTTGTCTAGGGTTTATGTGTGTTTATTTGATAATCTTGATGATCTTGATGTTGTGATGAATTATATATGTGATCTTGCGTTTGAGCATGTCTAGAGCTTGTCGTTGGGGCTTATTTGATGGGATCTTGATGTTCTTGTGATTCTTGTTGTTCTTGCATGTTTAGGAATTGATTCTTGAATCTTGATATGTTAGGAGCATGAATTTAGGATTTGTTTGTGATGGCTTCTTGACTTAATTCTTGTGGTTCAAGTCTATATTGTTGTTGTTGTGTATTGGGATGTATTCGGTCTCGGTTTTGGGTTTAACGGATGAATTCCCCGAGTGGAAAAAGTGCCAAGATACCATCGTACCAGCGGGGGGTCGGTGGGGGGACGACCACCCGCCGGGTACACACCACAGTACCAGCGGGTGGACGACCACCCGCCGTGCACCCGCTGGTACATGGTACCGCCCACCGACGGGTGGCCGGCGGGTGGTTGACCACCAGCTGGTACGAGCGGGTGGTGCGTTGTTTGGTCTCGTTTTGTATTTCCCTGTGCCCCGTTTGATGTTTATGCGTCTCATTTGATATTTCGGCTATCGTTTTAGGAGTTGTGAGTCGTGGTTATTGCATGTGGGTTAGGTTAGTAACCCGTTGGCCTAGGATGAGATTTGCATGATCCCGTGGGTGCCAAGTGGCTGTCTCGTTAGCTTGGGAAGTAGAGCTTAGGCCGTGTCTTGTGGGTTACGTGTTTATGTTGATGTCGTTTGTTGATGGTAGCCTATCTGATTGTTGTGCTTTCCCTTTGATTGTTCCTTGCTATGTGTTGATGTGTATTGATTGTTATTGTTGTTGAGTAGTGGCCACTGCATTATTGTGCATGTTGACTGATTGATTGTACATGATGAGAAAGAGATGAGATTGGTGGAAAAGAATTGTTGGAGGTTGGCACAACGAGTGCCCAGTTATTGTGCTAAAGGCACAGATCTTTCGGTTATCGTGCTGAAGGCACGGACCAACCTTGATTAGTTTGCTAAAGGCATAGATCAAGTTATAAGCACTGCGGTGCCATGTCTTCGTACAATATGCAAGACCCCTTGATAGTGGTGCTAGAGGCACGGATCATGTGTTAATGGTACTGCGGTGCTACCTAATTTGTTGGTGGTTATGTTGGAGGTATGTTGGTGGGGGCATGTAGTTGCCCAGAGGGATAAGGGGGTGGTGTTATAAGGGTGGTCTGGAGGTATAGGTTGGAACTGATATAATGATGGAGAGGAGTAAAAGTTGGAACTTGGTATAAGGCTGGATTGTGATGTTATTGTTGTGTGTTGCCTTTGCTTGTCGTTGTGACTCCATTGTTACTATTGTTTGTTTTTATTGAGCCTTGTGAGTATCTTATCTTGCCAGTTAGGACGCATGCTAGCATCTTTATGAGGATTCGTGATGTTAGAACCTGTCTTATGCCTTGAGTCTTGATCTTGGCTTATATACGTATTCCGGTTTCAAAATGGTTTTCTTATATCTACCTATATTGTACTTAACGCGTTGGAGTGGGTTACCAGCATTATTCGTCGACGCTTGTTACATCGTATGTTTTTCAGGTGTAGATCTGTAGCTTCTGAGCGCGCTAGATGCATACGAAGACCTAGCTTAGTGTTGGTTGGCCTGCGTGCCTTGATTTGTATTCGCTTATGATCTTGTGGATTTATGCTTTGGTTAGTAGATTATCCTGTGCGTCTAGGTTCTCAAACCTAGACGTGGCATAGCACCCCAATACTTGTGTTGTTTGTTCCGCTTTGTTTGGATGATTAATGATAGATTTGCCTTTATTTCGTAGGCTTTAAATGTTTTAAAAATTAGGGGTGTTACACTTGGTATCAGAGCCTAAGTTCGACCTTAAGAACAATGCATTTAAGATAAGACTTACAATGTTAAGTTCGAATTCTAGGTACCTAAGCACCTAGGAATTAGGAAAAGAATTGTTGGAGGTTGGCACAACGAGTGCCCGGTTATTGTGTTAAGGGCACAGACCTTTCGGTTATCGTGCTGAAGGCACGGACCAACCTTGATTAGTAGGCATAGATCAAGTTATAAGCACTGCGGTGCCATGTCTTCGTGCTATATGCAAGACCCCTTGATAGTGGTGCTAGAGGCATGGATTATGTGTTAATGGTACTGCGGTTGTGACAACCCAAAATTTAATTTTATAAATTCGGTTTTAAGAAAATCTAAAATAGCCAATTTTCACTCTATAAAAATTTTGTGATGAAATCGGCGTTTGAATAAATTATTTTGAGCCACTTTTAAATAAATTCAACACCGAGAATATTCTGTTTCAAAAATCCTAAATTCTCGGGTACATTGCGTACCTCGTTTTTTATCCAAAAGTCAATGTGAGTGAAACCGGGAGAAATCTGAGAACCTAAACTAAGTGGTTGTCTAGAAAGTATTTTTAGAAAATCTATTTTTAACCCCAAGTTGTCTAAAATTATTTTTAAGACCATGGTTCATGATATAATATGAACCTTGATATTCCTACAAG